ACTTGATTCTACCTTTGCGTGAAATGCCAGAAAGTATTAAAAGTTAGGACTCATCCGAAGTGGTACAGTGACTCCATAGATCTTCTTCGCCTGTAATGTTCTCTTGCCAGATCCAAAGTTTGACTGCTGTTGTCAAATCTGTGAATCTGCATAACTTCATGTCCTAAAAATGCTAATGGGTGATAGGCGGGTGCTCCGGTGTGGTTTTCCCCTTCTTTCAAAATTATACGTCTGAGCTTTAAAAAAATAATATGAATAAACAACGAAGGAATCCTCAAAATTGTCCCTCCTCTTATTGGGATAAAAAAAGAACACCACCCTACGGGTATACTTTAACAATAACTTTCAATAAGGTCAAACACTTTTTATAAATAAATTATACAATCGTCTTAGTGTGATACATAGAGCTAATTTAGTCGGAGAATGTGTGGTTGCATTGAATCGTCAACTGTCACTTTTAAAGATCAGGGTGTACTGGGAGAGGAGCGCCCTTGGGTGTTAAAAGTAAAAGAGTCCTGGGTAGCCGACATTGTTCGTTGACTTCCCTGACAGGTGAGCGACTTTTTGGTGGCCTCGCCTTCGACATGAAGAAGAGAAGAAATGATACGAGTCTTCACAATCGTCAATAGGTCTGGCAGCTGCTAACATGTGGAGACATAACATGCTCCTGATTGGCTTAAAAAAACAAAAACAAACTAACTAACTAAAATGCAGCGCTAGCAATTAAGAATGCCATCAAATAATACGGAGGTCATGTTTTGCAATGACATAAGAGTGAGAAAAGAAGGCTTTAACACATGTACGCGTAACTTATTGTAACACCAGACCTTTTGAATCCAGGGGTTGAATGAAGTAGAATAGTGGGCTTTGAAAATGTGTGGAAATGCAAAACCACATTCTTGGGTGTTTTTTTCAAGCCTTTCTTATAATGTAAAGTTAATTTCTAAATAGTAATTATAATGAGAGCTTTCATTTACGAATAAGAAAGGGGTTTAATAAATGTACAGTAGATCTAGCATTTATTTCAAAACACTTTCAAAGTCAAAAATAGAAATTTTCAGCGAGGTGGGACCAACACCACCGTCTTGTTAGAGTTATAAATATGAATGAGTGCGCGGGACACACCAAACATTTTTAAGTGGTAAGAAATTTTGAATTTTGCCCAGGCGGCAGCCGAAGCCTACTCTTCTTATCGATTTTGGACCATCAAGGGATCTTTAACGTGTTCAACTTGCAAACGGGACCTCTGAGTTTTTTCGCTCTTGTCCAAGAAGGCTAGGAGTAGATCTCTCCTACCCACAGAATTCTACACTTAGTGTAGAATTCTGTGCTCCTACCAGAAGATCAGGGGTGTGGCTGAAAGACAGCAAGAAGCCAATGAGTTGAAGTAGAAATGCTGCCGAAAGAGTCAGGAGCCCAGTGGAGGGGGCAAATGAGGTGAGGGGGTGGGGGGAAGAAAGTGGAGACGAAAGCAGACGACAGAATTTGCAAGAGAGGAGGAAAGAAGGTGAAAGGAGACAGTTTTAGAGAAGAAAATTTTTCGGTCGCTACCCGGAATTGAACCGGGACCTTTTTTTTTGTTTTTGTAAAGTGTTTTACGGCGCTCGCAACTGCATAAGGTCAATATGAGCGCGCGGGACACACCTAATATTTTCAGTTGATAGGAAATTTTGAATTTTGCCCGGGTGGCGGCCGAAGCCTACTCTTATCGATTTTAGACCACCAAGGGATCTTTAACGTGCGCAACTTGCACACCGGCCCTCTGAGATTTTTCGCCCTTGTCCGAGAAGGCTAGAGGTGTAGATCTTTCTTACCAGAAGATCAGGGGTGTGGCAGAAAGACAGCAGTAAGAAGGAGCCAAGGAGTATCAGTAGAAAGGCTGTAGAAAGAGTCAGAAGCCCAGAGGAGGGGGCAAAGGAGGTGAGGGGTGGGGGCAGAAAGTGGAAACGAAAGCAGACAACAGAACATTGCTAGAGTGCATGAAAGAAGGTGAAAGGAGACAATTTTAGACTTATTTAGAGAAGAAAATTTTTCGGTCGGTACCCGGATTCGAACCCGATAGGCCAACACTTTAACCTCTGCCACAAGAGCCCCCCCCCCCCCCCTTGCAAGGTTTTACGGCGCTCCCAACTGCATAAGGTCATATGAGCGCCAAGG